ATATTAAGAGGTCTATCTTTAAAAGGTTTTAAAGCTGACTAAGTCATTGAATTCGGTGTCAATGCATGGAAGTGATTGTAAATAAAAATCTTGAGCACCAAAAGTCCAACGGACAACTTTTTTTAGCGAGAAGCGCAAACATTGGTGAGAAGCTCCTATTAACTGTTACGAAAACCACATGCATTTCCCATGATAGGCCTAACTGTAGGGCTACGGTATGTTGTATGATGGGCGGAGCAAGTTGAGAAAAAGAATGGACTGCAACTGTTAAAATATTTCAAAACACTTATTCATTCCAGATTGCGTTGGCGTAACAATACATATTTATTGTTTACGAAACAATGACATGCGATGCATGCTACAGTAACTTTAGGCGACCCTTCCATTAATGTGGCATATCTATGACGAAAAAACTGCCAACTCTATTAGGCGAGTAAATACTATTTCGATGCACGCATAAAGAGCTAAGTAATAGCATTCCACTAAAATAAAGCAACAATAAGGTCTTTAACAAAATAATACGGCGTCCCCAGGATATTGCCACTGCTACGCAGTTCTTCACCGAGTCACTCAACTTATCCGTCCGCACTCTTCTAAAGACAGTAACAAGAGAAGTATACATTTCTGATTAAGTGAGCAAATTATTGGATTTCTGCATTACCCCGTTGTGAAATTTAATTTGCAAAAAAAGCTCTTATCAAAATGACTTGCTTAGATTTGAGCACGCCAAACTTAAGAGTTGCTATTGTTGAAATTTAAAAATTGAAGTTTTCCAGTTTCTGTTAGGATAGTTTAGTTTGCTATTGCACATATCATAGCATTTTTGCATTCAAGAAATTTGACAAGTTGGGAAAAAATTTCTCTTAAGACGCATTAAACAAGCACGGCACACCTCAAAGTGCTCAAACTTCTACTCATTTTTCAAGAAAGCACTATGGTTGTCAACAATGGCCTTACATTGACGATATCATCTCTTGGTGCTTGAAATTGGACATCCACATACAATACCGCTCCTAACTTTTGCAAAAAAAAAAAACGCGATTTCACATTAA